TCATCCGAAGCTGATCGACTTTAGCCGCTTTAGCCGTGAAAGCGTGCCGCACGTGTTAACGTGTCCTAAACTTTGACTCTGCGTTCTCTGCAAGGATTGATCGGTGCGGGCAAGACCCACATCCACACAGTGGCCACCATTGCGCGGGCACAAGTCCGGGATGGAGCTCAGCCCCTTGCGGTGGAGATGTTTGCTTCGCTCGGTTGCTATGGCCGGCAACCAGGACACGAAGAAAGGGACTTGCACAGGTGGTTGCAAGGCCTTTACGGCATAGGCCTGGAGCTGTACTGGACAACCATGAAGTTGCAGGCAGGACCACGGGGAGTTCATGCAAGTAGTTGCACCTCGTTTCGAACAGCCCCACCCTACATGCAGGTCCCAACTTCCACCCGTGCTGAAGATGTGGACGTTCCCGTGCTGCTACCGCACGAGATCCTGCATGCTCTCGCTCACGCTGGGCCTGCTCAGGCCGCGGGCGTAGGAGAAGAGTTGCTTTAAAATTTGCTTCCCTGCGTTGCCCTGAAGTTGCGATGTCCATGACGGGCGACCGCGATGAAGCAACGCTGCGGGAATTCTGGGAACACTGCAAAAGCTTGGGCGAGTACAAAGACCATCCAGCTTTGCAAGGGCAATTTCCTTTGGGTAGCCGCTTGTTTGCAACAGGCGACGCCGAATTGTAGCTCATGCAATTCCTGCCGCAGCAAGGGCTCATCCCATTCACCTTCCATTGTGACGGCGCAGAGTTCTACAGCAACTGCGAGTTCATGGTTTGGTCTTGCTCATCCTTGTTCGCAACTGGAGATGTTCCTTTTTTGCAGCACCCCCCCCCAAAAAAAAACGAGAAGGGAGGGGGAGAGGGTTTGGTGCGCCTTCTGTAAGCGGTCCCTCCGTTGAACGGAGTCCTGTACCGGGCCTGCGGGCCGAAAGGAGGTAGGGCAGGAAGGCAAACCAACCCCCCCCCCCCTCCCGCCCCCGGCCCCCATCCCCCCGCCACCCCCTCAAAAAAATCGAAACAAAGGGCGGTTTAGGGTGGATGGTTTTAGGGTTTAGGGTTTAGGGTTTGGGGTTTAGGGTTTAGGGTTTAGGATTTAGGGTTTAGGATTTAGGATTTAGGCTTTAGGGTTTAGGGTTTAGTGCGGTTTAGGGCTTAGGGTTTAGGGGGGAGGGGGAGAGGGTTTGGTGCGCCTTCTGTAAGCGGTCCCTCCGTTGAACGGAGTCCTGTACCGGGCCTGCGGGCCGAAAAGAGGTAGGGCAGGAAGGCAAACCAACCCCCCCCCCCCCTCCCGCATCCCCCCGCCACCCCCTCAAAAAAATCGAAACAAAGGGCGGTTTAGGGTGGATGGGTTTAGGGTTTAAGGTTGAGGGGTTAGGATTTAGGATTTAGGCTTTAGGGTTTAGGGTTTAGGGTTTAGCGCGGTTTAGGGCCTAGGGTTTAGGGGGGAGGGGGAGAGGGTTTGGTGCGCCTTCTGTAAGCGGTCCCTCCGTTGAACGGAGTCCTGTACCGGGCCTGCGGGCCGAAAAGAGGTAGGGCAGGAAGGCAAACCAAACCCCCCCCCCCGCTCCCCCCGCCCCCCTTCCCCCCCCCCGCCCCCAAAAAAAAAGAGACATTCGAAACGAGTCGAAGCACAATAAAAGAGGGCCGGGTGAAGGCGGCCGCAACACCCCACCCGCACGAATCATGAGTTACCCACGTCCCTCCCAGGGAAGTGTCGCAGCATTCAGGGCTATCTTCTGCTGCAAATGCATTCCAGGTTTGGGACATCAAGTTCCCCTGCGTCATCGTTCCGCATGAGTTCATGGCGGATAATGCCGCTGCCCGGTCGCATCGAGAGGGAAGGGTTGCCTATTCATGACAGAGCTATAGGTTCGCGACGATGTCCATCGACACGTGGCCAAGCTGATGGCGTGGTCCATGGAGTTTGCCATGAATGGCAAGGGGCCGGAAGTGGGATTTCATGGGGAGGCCTTTCGGCCAGACAGTCATCGCGGGCGCTTGGCAGGTGCCAGGCTCGGCAAGAACTGGAGGCCTCACTGCACTTGGTGAAAGCGTTGTGTTGCTAAAGTGGGAGTAGGGTGGTTTGTGCCCCTGTAGGGCAGCATTTTTCTCCATGAAGTACGACCTCAAAGCTCGGGTTCAATGCAACTTTTTCAGTCAGCACTACGGGTGCAACCTGGTGTGTGACAGCTGCATGGCGTGCAAGCCTGCAAAGTCCACGGAGCCGTTGATGAACTATCGAGACTTTACCTTGTCTGCCGGCCATCGCCTAAGCCGCTTCAGTCATCGCACGTACGTGGCCATGACCCGCCCGGAGGAGCTTTCACCATGGATATGCATGCCCGGATGGGCTTTGGAAACATGCACACGTGACCCCATGCATGTCATCTACTTGGGTGTTTGCAGAGATCTGCTGGCGTCCTTGCTAGCAGATTGGATGGATGCCAACTTGTTGCCAGCAGCACCCACTCAGCAAGAGCGCTTGCGGCTCTTGTCTTTGGAAATGCACGCGGCGTGCAAGCAGGCAAAGCAACTTGTCTGCAGCCTCATTTGCATGCTGCCTTGTGCTGCCCACGCAGCTTTGCGCCAGGGCCCGTGTGATCTCACGTTGCGAACTATAAGGATTTCATTCCGCAGAAAGTTCTTCACGCTTGCGAACTGCAACCTTGGGAAGGCGGAGTTCCCGGAGCTGTCCACGACATGGAAAGCTGCAGAGATCAAGGTGGTGCTGTGGTTTCTCAGCGTGAAGGCTGTCGAGCTCACGGCGGCTACCGAAGTTTCTTGGCCAAGCCCACATGTGAGAATATGAGTATTTGGTGTATTTCAAGAGACTCAGCCCTGATCTCGCATTTCTCAGGATCCCCTGCTGCAGGCTGGCACAGCCTGCGTTTGGTCCCTCAATGAAGCCATGTCCCTTTTGGACATGCATGACATCATCCTGCCGCAGCAGGAGGCCACGCGGTTTGCAGAGCTTATGCGGCAGTCGCTGCTTTACTGGCAGCTCTTAGCAGGCAAGTGCCACGCTATGGGCAAGAAGTGCTGGAAACTACGGCCCAAACACCATGTCATGGATCACCTGTGCGATGATGTGCAACGCACGCGGATAAATCCTCGCCTGGCCTGTTCCTGCTTCCAAGAAGAATCCTACCTAGGTCATCTCAAGCGCATTGCTGCCCATTGTTCTTCCATGCGCGTGATGGAACGAACTTTGCAAAGACTCCTGCTCCTTCTGGCAGTGAGATGGAAACACTCTCGAGAAGCCATGAACGAAGTGGAAGCGCAGTACACGTTTCATGACCTCATGTGACTCATGTGACAGCTGCAGGCTTGCGGGGAAGCCAAAAGTATCTGCCGCTGCGCTCGTTCACCAGGGCAAACCCTAAAACCCTATAGGCCCTAAACCTTGGCTGAAACAATCTGGCTCAAGGCTCAAGCAGTTCTGGCCCAAACAATTCTGGCTCAAACCCCTCCCTTGTTCTCACATGTTCCTTACGTGAGTTTATAAGCGACAGTTGGCGCAAACGCTAGTAGCTCAGATTGCGCCACAAACACCACGCAGCTATTGTTAAAGCTGTTTATACTTATGCAAAACAGAGTATGAAGTAAAACAGTTTGTTGCTTTCTTTTGCCCGGAATACGCGAGCCCCGAAAACGCTACAATGCCACTTGGATTGTATATACTCCCTGGAGTGCGGTTGACAAACACATGGTCTTTCCGCGAAGCTGCCGTTAACCCGAACACGCTACAAACGCCTGCAATTGCTGTACGAACGCAGCTGCCGCTTTCTTAGCCCGAAAACGCTACAAACGCCAAGTGCACAGTCGCCTCTTGGATATGTGTATATATATACATGTACATGTGTGTACATATATAAACACATACATGTGTGTGTATGAACTATAGTTTTGCGTTGCACACCTTTTTCCTTTTTATAATGCCGCCGTTCGCGTAACCCTAAAACGCTACAAACGCCAATTGCTTTATGAACGCAGCTGCCGTTTGCTTGAATCGCTACAAAAACCAATGCTTTACGAACGCAGCTGCCGTTTGCTTATAACCCGCGAACGCTACAAACGCCAAATGCGCTACCAAACCCACAAGGTCGCCGCTTATATATGTTTCTATATATTGTATACGCTCTACACAGACATGTATGTACATGTTTAATTCTTTTTCATAACGCTTCCTCATATACATGAAGCCACCGTGAACCCGCAAACGCTACAAACGCCAATTGCTCCGCAAACGCCAATTGCGCTATACGAACGCAGCTGCCGTTTGCGTGCGTTTTAACCCGAAAACGCTGCAAACGCCCATTGCTCCGCAAGCGCCACTACAAACGCAGCTGCCGCGTTTGCTTAACCCGAAAACGCTACAAACGCCAAGTGCTCTATCAGCGCACATGGTCGGTGTGTATCTATATTTAATTTGTATACAAATTCATACACATGCGTGTATAATCGGTATACCGATACAAACTTTTTCCTTACACCTTGCGTGAAGCCGCCGTTCGCTTAACCCGCAAACGTTGCAAACGCCAATTGCTCCGCAAACGCAAATAGCTTTTACCACAAACGCCAATTGCTCCGCAAACGCCAATTGCTTTATACGAAGCAGCTGCCGTTTGCTTAACCCGAAAACGCTCTATAAGCTTGTTCCATCGCGTTGCTTTACATCAAGGCCAAGCGCTTGTTACGCTACAAACAAACACCGGTGGCAGGAGACAACGCGGCTCGAGGCCACATTTTGCACTAAACTTTTCTCTACACACGAAGCTGCCGTTTGCTTAACCCGAAAACGCTACAGACGCCAACTGCGCTACACACGTAACGGACTATAATAAATATTAGATATATATATATATATATATACGCATCGAGTTCAATGTGTGTACATATACATCCGGCTCTGGAAACCGCCATTCAGATGCCTATCAAAACGCTTCAAACGCCATGCTGTATACAAACGCCGCATTGATACGCCGCCGTAGGCGTACGCCAGCTGCTAGATACATACGCCAGCTGCGCGAGCGTCAGCTGGCGTCTGTTGCCGCAGCTGTCCTTTGTAAAGCTGCGGGCCCCAACGGTAGAAAGATGTGAGGCGGCGAAACATAGGTGTCGCGTCCGGCCAGCTGGAGGCGACCTGGAACAGCGCCCGGTTGTCCTCTCGTCCTTGCATTCGCAACTGCGTGTTCAAGCGGCTTTGTGTGCTTGGCTTGGAGGACCCTGCTTGCCTCTTACCTGGGAGGGCTACGGTAGCTGAAGCAGTCTAGTCCTACTGCCAAAACACTACCATCAGAATCACTAGTAGCCCAAGTCTCTGCGAGGCATTAGCTGCACTAAGGCAGACACGAAGAAACGACCGGTCTTGCGGGTATCTTCGCAGTCACGTTCCCGAAGTCCCTCCCGAAGAAGTCTGTGCACTTGAGACACTACCTTCGCTTCGTACAGCTGCCATGATGAGCCCTGCGATGCTTCATAAGCTGCACGAACATCGAAACAGCTGAAGGCCATCTCCAGTGAATCCGCCGGGAACTCTGCCTCCAGTCTTTCCAATATGACCTCGACCACCTGCCCCACACCTTGTAGACCGCGCATGTACTTGTCCCGCCCTGTCCTGGAAGTCCACAGGTAGTGGACTTTGTCCATGTAATAAATTGGCCCACATTGCAGCGCCGCTTTGACCACTCGGCAAGTGCACGTGTCCTCAAGACCTGGCCCTTCTTGGAGGATACGCCCTTCCAAGAAAAGGCTGTGCACCCTGCAGCAGGGAAGCGCAGACGGTCATCCCAGAAACCCTCAATGCTACACCCCCAGCTTACAAGGTCTTGCCCTGTGCCTTTTTCTCTAAACCCCCACCTCTTTCGGACATTTGCCAAGCATCTGCGAGAAATCGCAGGGTCGTGCCAGTCAGAATCGAAAATCCGAAGAAGACGCTGGGTCTCGTGGGTCAAGTCCGCAAAAAGGCCCAAAGACACGACGAAGTCCGTGTTCATCGACTCCAGCGTCCTGGCCGCGAGACCGCGCAGCTTGGGCGAGATGCGCTTGTCACTGGCCTGCCCTGCCAGAAGAAGCGCCACCGGGAGCAGCATTTGGCAGAAGAGACGCAAAGTCTCGGACTCGTCGAACCGAACTGCGCTCCAAGCGATCTGCGTGAAGAGCTTCTGGTTGCCAGAGACCACGTTGGAAATGGCACGAAGTTTCAGCTTCCACTCGTTTGAGAACTTGAGCTGCGGTACGAGCCCACCATCTTTCTCAAAAAGAACATGCCTGACCTCGGCCAGCATCGGCTCTGACTGGCAGGCCTTCTGCATCGCAAGCCTCCGATGGGACTTCGTTCTCTGACATTACTACCTGAAAACCAAAGCGCTGAGCCTACCAAATTATATTACTCAAGATCAGACAGCACCGAGTTTCAGCAAAATACTTGCCTGACCGCGTGTGCTGCGTCGCGCCAGCGAAGCACAAGACGAGGGCAGCTCCGTTGCATATACGCAACTGTCTTCAGCATGGAAGGAGCCCCATCCACGGCCACACTGGTGACCTTGTCCAGCGCATTCCGCGCGGCCTGCTCATCGACCTGCCCATGTGCATCTTTGTGCAGGTTTCGCACCGCGGCCACAACTTCATCCTTAACAGTCTCAGGTTGACCAATCGACAGGCTGGACCTAAAGGGAAAAAGCTTAAGTCACACCACGACCACCAGCGCAAGGCAAGCATCACATATGCGCAGGCTGTAATCTTCATCCAGATCTTCCAGAGAAGGAACAGCAGTGCACCATGCCCCGACAATGCCCTTACTCCTGTCCCCGACCACGCTACCTCGTGTCCGAGCGATGGTTCATTCATGGGGCTGTCTGACTGATTAACCCAACCTGTGCTAGGTATGACATCACGTGTGCAGTGTCCAATTGTCGCCAAAAGGCAGCGGTAGTTGCAGACCGTGTGCGGCTTTCGCTCATCAAAAGTCAAGGTCACGAAGTCCGAGTCTGCGATGGCCGCCACAGTCCTGGAGCGAACGACCTCTGCCATGACGGCAACCATTGCTGCGGCAGCCTTGCGAGTGATGTCCTGAAGGGCATGGGCGCCGGAAAACCGCCGTGATACCACCAGGACGAGGGGTGAGGGCTTAGGGCTCTTAGGTCCCATAGGTCTACGCAGCAAGGGCGAGTTGCTACTACTACTACTACTACTACTACTACTACTACTACTACTACTACTACTACTACTACTACTACTACTACTACTACTACCACTACCGCTACCGCTACCGCTACCGCTACCGCTACCACTACCACTACCACTACCACTACTACTACCACTACTACTACTACTACTACTACTACTACTACTACTACTACTACTACTACTACTACTACTACTACTACTACTACTACTACTACTACTACTAACTACTACTACTTCTACTACTACTACTACTACTACTACTACTACTACTACTACTACTACTACTACTACTACTACTACTACTACTACTACGACTACGACTACGACTACGACTGTACTACTAGTAGTAGTAGTAGTAGTAGTAGTAGTAGTAGTAGTAGTAGTAGTAGTAGTAGTAGTAGTAGTAGTAGTAGTAGTAGAAATAGTAGTAGTAGTAGTAGTAGTAGTAGTAGTAGTAGTAGTAGGAGGAGGAGGAGTCCTAGTAGTCTAACAGGAAAACAAGGTCTAAGAAGTCCCTACCGCATTTGGTCCCCAGGCCTCAGACCTGCGGCTGATGAAGTTTTCCGTGAGGCTCAAGGCCTCCATGGACCGGAAAGATGTTGGGTTGCGAACCCAGCTGGAAACGCGCAGGATGTCTGGCAACTGGGGCACCGCCCCTGCGAACAGCGCTGCATCATTGCGCGACCATTCCAGTGCCAATGTGCCCGGCGCGACCGTGGGCCTGTAAAAGGCCTTGGTGGCCAATTTGTGGATCTCGGACCGTCCGTGTTGCTTCACGTTGCAGAGCTGCATCGCTGAGATGCTGTTGATCGTAAAGTTGGCCTTGGCACGACGCAGGCAAATTAGACCGAATCAGCGTAACAAAACTGAACAGAACCTGCATTCAAATATAGAAAGCGACAAATGGCATTGAAACCGGACCAGGCTTCCCATTTGGTTTTCTGCCGAGCATACTTCACTCCAGAAAACTTTGGCTGATTGGCCAGCCATGCGCAGCACACGCATCCGACTCCCCATGGGTCCGTCTTTTTTTCAGCCAACCAGCTGACCCGTGTCCCGTCCGGCGAGACCTCTGAGGCCGAATTCCGCCACGAGACCGCGAACTTGGAAAAGATTTTGCGCGCCCCTTGCTCCCCCTGATGTTTCTTCCTGGGCTGCGGACGCAGGAGCTGCAGCCTGGAAGCCTTCTTCTGTTTGGAGGCCTTCGGAGTGCTGCTCGGAGTCCGCTTTGCTGGCTGTTTGCGTGCCTTGACGGATCGACCTCGCGAGTCCTTGCCGCGTTTCGGCTGAGGAGTCCTGCAGGAGCTGCTTGGAAGCTGCCTTGCGGCCTTGGCCGGCCTCTTGGGAAATGCCGACACTTTCAGCATGGCTGGCGAAAGGAAGGTGCTGCAGTCAGGTTCATAATTATTGGACTGCGATCTAAATCCGTTGTCCACACTCTGTGAAGGCGCTCTGGACTGTCCATCTACATGTCCACAAACAGTGTGACTAAACGACCTCGTCACGTGAGGCCTGCGCCGGCCCGAGCCCGGACTGCATCAATTTCGGACAAGGACAGGGTACACTCGAGTCTGCATGCCAACCTTATCATGTATCAGCCAAGCAACTGAGTCAGGCTATCACAGCATTTCTGCAACTCATTCAAGCCCTGCTGCTGCTAGGTCAAGGTCCAAGTGCCAAATTGTTAAGCCTCACCGAAAGTCGAACAGGTCAACCGAAAGCACCCTTTCGGCGAAGCCTCGCAGAGGCCACCGACGCCAGACCGGGCCCCAACGCGGCCTGCGCACGTTGCAGCTTGATGCTGCGGCTAACATGATATCTTCGGGGATGCTGCTGCTGACTTTGGGCCTAATGCCTTGGCGGATGTTGCAGGCCTTATGGAAGTCGGCCGCTCATGTCATCGTTGTTTGAACGTGTTGAAATTGCTGTTTGCGCAGGGCCCCATGTTTTTTCTGGTGCTCTTAAGTTGAACTTCCGCTTACGCATCTGGGCTGGCAGGGCTTACTCAGACTTCAGTATACCTCTCATGCCACCTCATGCTCCTTGGTACTGTCCCAAAACAAACCATGCCAAGACATATCTGTGCGGTCACAAAGCACTCAAACCTTCTGCCGCGCAAAACCCCCCCAACTGTTACCGCAAACGCCGCAGCAGAAAGCCACAGGGGCACTGACTCTTTTTCTGTTCCAGCATTGTCCCCGAATAGTCCAGGCCCGGCACCACATCATTTGGGTAGTTTCGGGAAAAAACTGCACGCCTGGCCGCCGTGCAACCCATTTGCAACAGCCCTGGCAGCGTCACAGTCGGTCGTCTCGAGTGCCCTTCAGTTTCTCTAAGTTACGTCTACTTTGCCCTCAATTTAAAGTCCATTCTGATCTGCTGGAACCTAACTTTGCCTAAGCAGGACATGCCGACAGAAGCTGTTGCAAAAGACCCGCTTCGACATCCGCTGGCGACCTCAGTCCTCTGTACACGAATCCTCAGGATCCTCACGATCATCATGGCTGTCTTCAAGCTGCGCATCGATCACATCCAAGTCCGACCCAGAAGCGAAGGCCTCGGGAAAAAGATCCCGCACGGCTGCCTCCCAGCTTTCCATGTAGAGCATGTGGCTGCTGTCGCACAGCAACCTGGGTGCAGGGTTGAGGGAGTTAGGGGGCAACCGTGTCGAGCAGAGGTGACATGATTCTTTTCCTCTGTCCGGCAAGTTGCCGCAGGGATGCGTGCAGCGTCACGTTGCCAAGCCCAGTTAAGGTGCTCTTGGCGCCGACAAAAAAGCCCACGTAGCCCAGTCCTGCCCGATGAGGTAGCGCTACCCCAGGACCTGACACGTCAGCAGGTGGCCAAGTTAAGCGTGAAACATTTCCAAAACACTTCAATACTTAAAAGCATGTGCTGAAGAAGATTCACGCCAGGCACTGAAGTCAAGCACCGTCCTGGCCCGGCATGCCTCCGAGATGGTTCTCCATCCTTAACCATTCCTGCCACCGCCACGGGGGCCACGGCGAGCATACTCCGCCTAGGCCGTGGAGACTCCGCATAAAATGCCAGGAACTGACCCGCGTGACTGGTCCGCGTCCTTGACTGCGCCGGACACGGAACTGCTTCTTATCAGCTCCACGCAGCCTCGCATGCCCTGCAGCCGAAGAACAAGGGCCACTAGTTTCTCACTGCAGCCGAAACTCAGGGTCTGCAACACGTCCTCCACCATGCGCCGCAACTTGGGGCAGCACGTCGCAACCAGAATCATATCCTCAGTTGGTATACAGTCGACGAACCGAAAGTGAAATAATGCGACACGCTGCACGTACGGCATGTCTTTCTTTGCTTTGCTTTCCAGGGTCTTCTCAGGGACATCGACCGTCGATAGTCTCCTAGTAGCTACGGGCAAATATAATAGGAAAGAGAAATGACCCCTTGGCCTTCATAGTGGTAATTTCAATGGGTCTGAGTCTTGCCCGTGTAACAGAGTACTGTTCAGCCTTGAGCCCCAGATGCCCCCTGGCCCCCTTTGACCGTCCCTTGCGTTGTGGACATTTGCAAGACGCCGCGCCCAACGGATCCTACTTCAACTCTTTCTCTAGGCTCCAGGCCTACAAGCCCGAAAAGCCCCCCTCACCGAAGAAGAGTTTCGATCACGTTGCCCAAAAACAAACCCGGCTTCGATCGATGTCCCCGAAAAGGCCCCGGAAAAGTGCAGGCTGGCGTCTCCGTCCGCGGAAGCCTCTTCTTTCATGAGCTGCAGCAAGGCCTTGTACTCGGCCATGTAACTCTTAGTCCACGTCCCGCCGGCAACCCATGGTTGCGGTGAGTTGTCAAAGAGAAGTGCTGTTGACAAGACAAAGACACGGTGGGCCTTGTTCAACTCACCAGGTGACCGCCAGGAGGCCTCAACCTTCTCAAGGCAATCGCTGATGGAAGCTGTGCTTCCATAGCACTCGAATCGAATGCGCTGATCACGGCACTCTTTGGCCCTGGCAAGGATGCCAACTTTCTGCTGGGCAGCCGCGCCCGCCGCGACCGTGGGCCTGTACAAGGCCTTGGTGGCCAACTTGTGGATCTCGGACCGGCCATGTTGCTTGACGTTGCAGAGCTGCATCGCTGAAATGCTGTTGATCGTAAAGTTGGCCTTGGCACGACGCAGGCAAATTAGACCCGCTGGAGTCAGCGTAAGAAATCTGAACAGAACCTGCATTCAAATATAGAAAGCGACAAATGGCATTGAAACCGGACCAGGCTTCCCATTGAGCATACTTCACTCCACAGAACTTTGGCTGATTGGCCAGCCATGCGCAGAACACACATCCGACTCCCCACGGGTCAGTGCTGCTCGGAGTCCGCTTTGCTGGCTGTTTGCGTGCCTTGACGGATCGACCTCGCGAGTCCTTGCCGCGTTTCGGCTGAGGAGTCCTGCAGGAGCTGCTTGGAAGCTGCCTTGCGTCCTTGGCCGGCCTCTTGGGAAATGCTGAGACTTTCAGCATGGCTGGCGAAAGGAAGGTGCTGCAGTCAGGTTCATAATTATTGGACTGCGATCTAAATCCGTTGTCCACACTCTGTGAAGGCGCTCTGGACTGTCCATCTACATGTCCACAAGCAGTGTGACTAAACGACCTTGTCACGTGAGGCCTGCGCCGGCCCGAGCCCCGACTGCATCAATTTCGGACAAGGACAGGGTACACTCGAGTCTGCATGTCAACCTTATCATGTATCAGCCAAGCAACTGAGTCAGGCTATCACAGCATTTCTGCAACTCATTCAAGCCCTGCTGCTAGTTCAAGGGTCTAAGTGCCAAATTGTGAAGCCTCACCGAAAGTCGAACAGGTCAACCGAAAGCACCCTTTCGGTGAAGCCTCGCAGAGGCCACTGACGCCAGACCGGGCCCCTTCGCGGCCTGGGCACGTTGCAGCTTGATGCTGCGGCTAACATGGGACATATCTTCGGGGATGCTGCTGCTGACTTTGGGCCTGGGGGCTTGGCTTATGTTGCAGGCCTTATGGAAGTCGGCCGCTCATCGTTGTTTGAACGTGTTGACATTGCTGTTTGCGCAGGGCCCCATGTTTTTTTCTGGTGCTCTGAAGTTGAACTTCCGCTTGCGCATCTGGGCCTGCAGAGCTCTCCTTGGTACATATGTCCCACAACAAACCATGCCAAGACATAGCTGTGCGGACACAAAGCACCCAAACCTACTGCCGCACAAGTCTTTGACGCTGAAACCCCCGCAACTGTTACCGCAAACGCCGCAGCAGGGGCACTGACTCTTTTTCTGTTCCAGCATTGTCCCCGAATAGTCCAGGCCCGGCACCACATCATTTGGGTAGTTTCGGGAAAAAACTGCACGCCTGGCCGCCGTGCAACCCATTTGCAACAGCCCTGGCAGCGTCACAGTCGGTCGTCTCGAGTGCCCTTCAGTTTCTCTAAGTTACGTCTACTTTGCCCTCAATTTAAAGTCCATTCTGATCTGCTGGAACCTAACTTTGCCTAAGCAGGACATGCCGACAGAAGCCGTTGCAAAAGACCCGCTTCGACATCCGCTGGCGACCTCAGTCCTCTGTACACGAATCCTCAGGATCCTCACGATCACCATGGCTGTCTTCAAGCTGCGCATCGATCACATCCAAGTCCGACCCAGAAGCGAAGGCCTCGGGAAAAAGATCCCGCACGGCTGCCTCCCAGCCTTCCATGTAGAGCATGTGGCTGCTGTCGCACAGCAACCTGGGTGCAGGGTTGAGGGAGTTAGGGGGCAACCGTGTCGAGCAGAGGTGACATGATTCTTTTCCTCTGTCCGGCAAGTTGCCGCAGGGATGTGTGCAGCGTCACGTTGCAAGCCCAGTTGAGGTGCTCTTGGCGCCGACAAAAGCCCACGTAGCCCAGTCCTGCCCGAAGCACTGCCTGAGGTAGCGCTACCCCAGGACCTGACACGTCAGCAGGTGGCCGAGTTGAGCTTGCAACATGTCCAACACACTTTCTGCCACATGACCCTTCTTTATTTAAAAGCATGTGCTGAAAAAGATTAAAGCCAGACACTGAAGTCCAGGACCGTCCGCGCCCGGCATGCCTCCAAGATGGTTCTCCATCCTTCTGGGGGAAACCATTCCTGCCACCGCCACGGAACTGCTGTTGACCCCCAACGCCTCGGCTTCGGGACGTCAGACACTGCATCCGCCGACTTCTTTTCCTTCTCCTCGATGCGTGGCAAGTCGAATAAGCCCAAGGGGCTTATGTTCACCATCGTGGTCGGGCAACCAGGCATTGTGAACGGGTCCTGCACACCAGGGCGAGCAAACGTGACGGGTCTAATTTAAGGACAGCACCGTGCCGTTCACTCGCCACGCCTGCCGACGCACGGCCGCCACGCGGACCTTCGAAGACTTCGTGTAGACCAGGCTCCACCAGTGATCCGCAGGAGTTGCAAAAAGGGTCCGCTTAGGCCGTGGAGACTCCGCATAAAATGCCAGGAACTGACCCGCGTGACTGGTCCGCGTCCTTGACTGCGCCGGACACGGAACTGCTTCTTATCAGCTCCACGCAGCCTCGCATGCCCTGCAGCCGAAGAACAAGGGCCACTAGTTTCTCACTGCAGCCGAAACTCAGGGTCTGCAACACGTCCTCCGCCATGCGCCGCAACTTGGGGCAGCACGTCGCAACCAGAATCATATCCTCAGTTGGTATACAGTCGACGAACCGAAAGTGAAATAATGCGACACGCTGCACGTACGGCATGTCTTTCTTTGCTTTGCTTTCCAGGGTCTTCTCAGGGACATCGACCGTCGATAGTCTCCTAGTAGCTACGGGCAAATATAATAGGAAAGAGAAATGACCCCTTGGCCTTCATAGTGGTAATTTCAATGGGTCTGAGTCTTGCCCGTGTAACAGAGTACTGTTCAGCCTTGAGCCCCAGATGCCCCCTGGCCCCCTTTGACCGTCCCTTGCGTTGTGGACATTTGCAAGACGCCGCGCCCAACGGATCCTACTTCAACCCTTTCTCTAGGCTCCAGGCCTACAAGCCCGAAAAGCCCCCCTCACCGAAGAAGAGTTTCGATCACGTTGCCCAAAAACAAACCCGGCTTCGATCGATGTCCCCGAAAAGGCCCCGGAAAAGTGCAGGCTGGCGTCTCCGTCCGCGGAAGCCTCTTCTTTCATGAACTGCAGCAAGGCCTTGTACTCGGCCATGTAACTCTTAGTCCACGTCCCGCCGGCAACCCATGGTTGCGGTGAGTTGTCAAAGAGAAGTGCTGTTGACAAGACAAAGACACGGTGGGCCTTGTTCAACTCACCAGGTGACCGCCAGGAGGCCTCAACCTTCTCAAGGCAATCGCTGATGGAAGCTGTGCTTCCATAGCACTCGAATCGAATGTGCTGATCACGGAACTCTTTTGCCTTGGCAAGGATGGCAACTTTCTGCTGGGCAGCCGTGCTGGACAAAGAAGCTGAAGACCGGCGCGACCTCAAGGACTCCGAGCCCAGGCTGGCTTGCAGGCTTGCCAAAACATTCTGCTTGACCTCGGCAGCACGTCCCTCACGAAGCTCTTTGTCCTTTTTGCCTTCTGACACGTCGAACCAGGCCTGCAGCTTCATCCGCGCTTCTCCTTCGACATGGTGGCTCTTGCAGCAGCCAAGCCCGGCCAATTGCTGAAAAAGGCCGCAGTCCTCAAAGGCCGGGTCCTGGTGAAGTGTCCTAACCAGACTGTGCCACATCCGGCACTTCTCCAAAGCTAGACGTAACCAGGAAGAGCCACACGAATGGCACGCCATGCCGTTTGCCTTACACGTGCTGCCAGGCCCCCCAAAAAAAAGCATAATAACCAACAGCGCGTAACCTTGCAGCCAGGTGACTTCACACGTGGCACAAGGGCGCACCGTCAAGCTGGACCTGCCCACTGACTTTGTCCCTTTCAAGCCGCTCGGAGCTCCTGCTTCCAGGTCGTCAGCCATAAGCAGCAAAACAAAAGACAGGACCTCCACGGCCGTCAGTGTCTCAGTGGCCCACCGTTTGGCTGCACTTGCCAGGGCCGCAAGCTTGGAATACTGGCACGCCAGGAATTCACTGCCAAACTTTCGGCTGAGGCGCTGCAAGGCTTCCGCTGCATCGTCAATGAAGCACTCAGACACAGAGGTGGCAGCGAGGATCATGGTGGTGTTGAGGACCTGACCATTGTAAGCGATGTCCGGGCTGCAGTCCACAAGCCTGTCCATGTCCTTGCGAGAAGACCGCTTCGTCGAAAACATCTTCAAGTACTCCACGAACTTGCGAGCCCATACCACAAAGCCGTTCTCGCAGTACAGCGACCTCAACCGAGAGGCCTTCAAGCTTTCTTGCATCAGGTATTTCTTTGAGTCCATCGGGCTGCCCTTCTCCTGACACAAGAATCTCGCTCGGCATTCCCCGGCCCAATGGGCGACTAACAGGCAGTTAAAAACAAGCAAAAGCAACATGTCTTCCAATGGCAAAGTTTCCACGTAGTGAAGGTGGATCGGGACTGAACCACCTACCTTCCACAGGGCTCGAACGTTTGCCCAGTCCTCCCCGCGAATGGCTCGAAACATGTCCAACTGTGCGCCGCTGCAATGGCATCACAGCACATGAACAAGAACGGTAGCTAGGAGACCTGTCGATTCGGGGGGTTCTCGCAACGTCGCATGCGATCCAAGCCACCCACCAGACCGCCACAGGCTTCATGTCGGACAGGAAGAACATCACTTTTGGATAGCTCCCCAGCAGTTCCCAGGTGTACGCTTTCACCGTGACCGGAAAGCAGTGGCAAGAAGACCTCGGATGCATCGAAAAAGCCTACAGTTTGCACCGCCAAACGCCACATGAATTGCTGAATCCTGAAAATCCCACGCAGGCTGTGCGTCGAGGCACAGGTTCATCATGTTGCCCAAGCCCTCCAAGTCCCTGTAGCAAAAGTCCTCGTTGATGAGGCCGGTCATGTTGTCCACAGGATGGCCCGCCAAGCTGAGCCAAAGGATTGACCCTGCCGCCATGTACTCATGATGGGCCTTGAGCGAGCCCACGCAATGACTCGGCACCCACGGCTCCATGACCGCCCCGGAGTCCTGTGACTGAAACGATAAGGGTCTTGGCTTTGCCACGTCAGCAGGCACTCCCAGATCTTGCAAGCAGCTCGGCAGCCGGCTTTGAACCTCACGCGGCAGGACTCACGCAGCAGAATGTGAAGCAAGCTCCAGCTACAATTTGCAAGTACCGTGCTTGGAATCTCGGGAACGAGCCCAGTGCGCAATGGACTGGACCCAGCGCAGGCCAGAGCTCTCTGCCGGGGGCCAGAGCTCGTCCACTGGCAAGGGCTCCACGCTGCCGCAACCCTGCACTGTAGCTGCGCGTCTGGTCTTGGCCGGGATGACCCCGCCCAGGCGGCCATTGCTAGCTGCACGCTTCCGTTTCGCAGCCATTGCCTTTAAAGATTTCTAGCCATTGCCTTTAAAGAGCTGAGTGGTACTCTGGCCCAGTATTAAGACCTGAAGACCCTGCTACCACCCGACTACATGCAACTGAATTCTGACCGGCACTGACCTTGCGGATGTCACGCCTTCGAAGCATGGAGCATGGGCCAACGCAAGTATGTGTTGATTCCTACCAAAGCTTCTCACTGCTTTATAACGGCATGCCCCATGTTGATCTTCTCCAACTGACGCAAGTTTTTTCACATGTTTCGGGACCTTCCACCGATTGGGACCCGAACTCAAAGAACAATAATAAGTTCCAGGGATCACACCCCCCAATCCCTGAAACTCTCCGCTGTAATATGGTGACATATCTAACGTACCTCGAACGATCATGTCGCTATGACTTTACACACACTTTATAATTGCGGTTTCTTTGCCCTTGTTCTAGTCTGGCGTGTAACACAGTTGCCAGGCGCCCGGCAAGAAGAAACTCTCCGCGAGGAGGGCCCGAGCCGAAGACCTGGCACATCAGATTCTGATGTCTGACTGAAAAGTTTCACACTTGAAAGCTCGTGCCCGCGCAAACCCGAAACGCTTTTTTGCGGTAGCCTCTGCACTGTCATCTCGACACCGGGGCAACTGGGACTCTGAGACCAGCAAAGGCCTGAATCTGAGTCCGCCTAAGCTAAGTGTTGCTTTCCAAACAGTCTTCGCTTCGAGCCCTTTCCGCCCTTTCCTCTGAGTCCCGGTCAAAATCTCAAGCTGCGTGGAAAACAGAACGTGCACGGGAAGCACATGTCGACAGCCAGTGAACATGAAGAGGGGTCAGCCGCTGGTCGCAACAGCCACCCCGAAGACAGTTTCATCACTCGGGGACTCCTCACCCTCGGGGTCCTCCTCATCCTCACCCTCCTTGTTCATCTCTGGATACGCCTTCGACACTTCCTCAGCCAAGTCCGCGTCATACATGTGCGGCATGCCCTCATCCAGGACAAGCCTTGGAAAGAATGAAGTGATTATGCTGCTTTTTCAAAAAAAATAATTGTAAATCGAACGCACAATGACAATGCATGCAGCGACTGCCGACTGCAAGGCAGGATGCTTTGCAGCTTCCTTCTCTGCAACGCTCTCGAGATAAGATTGCAGAGGCTTCCTGGCAGTGTAGCCTGCGTACTTCATATTGGCCGTAAGGCAGGCTCGGATCAAGTTTGGCCCTGGGGTGAAATCAATGACCGTCCCCGCGCGAAGGCAGGTGAGCAAAGTGCTCCACAATTCCTGCAGCAGGTGGTCACCCCAGTGCCACGGAAGGTTACGCCCTTCTTGAGGCCGGCCCCATCCCACAGCAGCGCCTTGGTGTCAGCATCCACAGAGTCCGCGTCGAGAGCGCTCAAGACCGGGACACCGTTGAAGACCATGGGGATGTTGCCGTACTCGTCCGCCTCACGGTCCATTTTGATGGCCTCCACCTTTACATCCTTGCCGAGCCGCACGAAGAGTGTGGACCAGGCTCCACGTTTGGAACCGATGGCAGATGCCAGCTGTTGACTGGCGTCGAACACCACAATCATCTCGAAGACCGGCCCTGCCCCACCAAGGATTCTGGTGATCTCAGTCCTGAGGCCGTGGTTCGCACCGTCGCTGACGAGCAGGATGTCGGTCTTCTGGCTCGCCACGGCCGCGGCTTGCTGAAGCTTGGCGCACAGCTCGGCGCTCTGCTTCGGGGCTTCGCACCAGGGCGTGTCGCTTGCCGCGTCCTCCTTCACCAGCTCGCAGTTGACTACGAACAATCTGTGCCGAGCCCCCACCTTGGCATCAGTGACGCCCACCACGGCGGTGCCCTCCGCGAGGACGCGGGCCACCTTTTTCATTTTGTCCGCAACCTTGCCCTTGACCTCAGACCGCAGTTTTGTCATGTCCTCGAGAGACCGCTCCATTGTGTCCACGTCGCCTGCGTCGTGCAGGGGAACACTGCAGGTAACAGGTGCATGCCTGGGCATGCTTACATTGCGTAGACTTTAGACACGTGCCCCGCCTGCGATCAGGCTGCTCAGCTGCACCGTGTCCAGCAGTGAGCTCTGCTTCGGGGTCAACGAGGCCAAGGCCGCCCGAAAGTCCTTGGAGAGCTCCAGCTCGCAGTCCGGGTCCTGCAAGTCCTCCACGATCCCTCGCTTTGAGGCCGCCCCAGTCACCGTCTGCAGGTCCTCATCGCGATCTCTCTCCATGATGGAAACCAGGAAATCTCGGAGCGGCCGCTGATTGGCACTGAGGTCTCAAGCTGTTCCAGAGAGCATGAAACCCAGCCATAGCCCTAGTCCATTTGTCCAGACCATCGTCCGTCAAGTCCTGGCCCTTGAAGACCTTCTTGTCCAGCATCACGCACAAGACGCCCAGCATGAACCGCGCCGCCTCTGCCGTGTGCCGAAAGACGGCCTTCATCCGGCTGTGGCTGCAGGCCAAGACCGGACCATGGGCCGAAGTGATTCCTCGAGCACACTCTGACAGCTGCCGCACTATGCCACAGTAGACCAATGACCACACAGGCAACATGTTGAATTGTACTGCAGGCCGAGGTGCGATTGAGGAGTGTCTCCGACTCCGGCCCCAAAGACCTCAGCACGCTCTGGACGGACGCCATGAGGTTCTTGTCCACCTTGCAGCCATTGAAGTTGAACGGCACCTCGTTGTAGCCGCTCGTTTTGCAGGCCTCGTGCACAGCTTCTAGCATTTTGGGAGCCGACTTGCCCTCAATGTCCGCCAGGTCGCAGAGCTTCCTCGTGAAGACCAGGAAGCTGTCGCAAGTCAGCATGGAGACCTGGCGAAGGTCCTGGTTTTGCTTGAGACTGGCGACGACCAGCTTATTGGAGTCCGTCGCATGGACCTGGAGGGTGACCGTCAACATGGCCTCCATCAGCATCTGCAGCATGTCCGCTCGGGGGCTGTCCATCTCCAAGAAGATCTTCACCTGGGCCGTGCTGAGCACTAGGGCTATGATTGGACTTCGACCGAACAAGTTCGAGTAAAGAAAAACCGTCTGGACGGTGCCAGGGAACCCAGAAGGCCGCCACGACGCACTTGGAGCCAACGATGGTCAGGTCCTTCGGCGGCAGCTTGGAAGTGTAGCATATGACCGGCGTCGGAAAGACGATGCGCGCCCTGTCCGACAAATAGACCGGCTTGAACGAGTCCACCATAGTCATGACCATCCTGGGCTGGTTTCCCAAAACCTCCCAACAGCTGATTTTAATGGGGCAGGAACGACCGTATAGTACGTCGAGTCCTGAACCTCAGACTGCTTCAAAGCCAACCAGCCAAGCATCTCCAGAGTCAAGGGGTCAGCCGTGACCGGAGACTTGCTCTGCAAGTCCACCCAGCTCAGGTTGCCACCAGCTTCATAGAGCTTCTCCTGCTTCAGCGCCAGCAGAGCACGCCCCGCGTGCCAGACCTCCTTGTAGCCGCTGGCCTGCCCCGACCGACCCTTGTTGTCCTGAATCGACAAGGGCTCCAAGACCTGCAGAGGTGTTTGCTTCTCGAAGCCCGGGACCTTCAGATCCTGCAACATCTCGGGAAGGGCAGCACGTACCTGGGCCGGGAGTCATCATTCAAACGTGCAAAGTGAAAAGACCAACAAAAACGAAAGCCGGGATAAGAACGCCAACTCGGTCAGGGAACGTAGGCCTCCACTTCCTCGCAGAACTTGCTGCACTCTACCCAGTTGTCCTTTGGCAGGATAGGCCTGACAAAGGCCTTTTTGGCCGGCGCCGCCGCGGTCGGGGCTGAGTCTTCTGCCTCCACGCTTGGCACAGCTGGCGCCGCTGGCGGGGCACTCGTTGCTGGAGGGGCCTTTGGACCTGAAGCTTTTGCTTGGCCCGCGGGTCGGCCTGGCGCTGCCGCCTTGGGGGTGGTCTTCTCTGCTGTCATGCTCAGATCTAAGACCAAAACCACGACAACTTGAGCCCTGGAACGATTACATGCCCAAGCAAGTTGACAAGAAATCCGAGTGTCCCTGTGGGTGCATAGGTGCAATGGTCTCAGAAGGCAGCTACCGCTTCCTCTCTGGTTTTTTTTCTTGACGGAGTGACTTCTTGCTAGAAGACCTGCGGACTGGCTGGAACTGGAAACGCTCCAGCCCGTGAAAACTGCAAACCGGTTTGCGGGCTGATTACCTCGATGAATCTGGGGGTTCGTGGAGGTAAAATGCCAGCTCTGGGACTGCAAATTACCTTCGGCAATGCAAAAAGGTAAACTGCAAACCGGTTTGCGCCCTGATTACCTCTGTGACCCCGGCCAGCCGTCCACGTAAATTTCAGCTCTGGAACCTGAATTTTACCTTCCTGAACTACTTTTACACAGTGGCGCTTGTTGTGAGCGACGAAGCTTTGCAGGGCAGCCACTGCTACGAGCTTACTGGCGACTTGTGACTGTGCCTCAGGAAAGTACCCACGGTTGCTTAAATTTCGCAATGGGATGACCTTGATGATTTCAGGCCTCTTGTCAAAGTACCGACCCAGCTTAGCCCGTCTGCTCACGAATCCAGCACCGGCCGTGCTCCGGCGTCCTGCAATCTGCTCTCCCCTGCAGTCACAGACACCTGCTGAGGTCCGTGATCCAATGACAACGTAGGAGTAAGAAGGCAGTCCCATGGGCACCCTATATACACTGAGAACACTGTCGTCATATCGCCCTGTCCATTGGATCATCTGCAGCAGCCCGCTCCTACAACTTGTGCTGCCTCAAGCTTCAAGACCGAAGGTATAATTCTGAGGACCGAAGTGCGTGCATGGATACTAGGCCTTCGTAAATGGGATGCCTGAGGCTGCAGCTGCAACCCTAAAGCCTCGAAAGCCCAAACATGGCAATCTCAGGAAAATCGCCTCCTCTTCTTCTTCAGCCGACCCTCCGTTACGTCACAACTCTGCTGGCACCTGGCCGACGCCAAGGAGAAGCGGTCTCAGTGGTATCGTGCATGATGATGCTACGCTGCGTTTCGACAAACAAGCGTGCCTGAGGTGAAGAAACGTCCTCCGGAAGGTCCTCTTCGTCGGCGCTCGGCGAAGCAAGGAGAGGCCTAAAGCAACGGCTGCCGCGATAGGCCTCACGTGCTGCGTGTTGCCCACCAATCGCACACGGTCGGCGTCGCTCAATGTGGGCGGCATTCGAAGATCCACAAAGTCGTGGAGTGCCTCACACGATGTATGGATGTATGGATGTATTGCACTATAATGGCAACCAGGACGAACAGTTCTCGCGCATGCCCCCACGACCCCAACAAGTAAACGCCGACACGGAACAAGGCCGTCGAGTCCGTCCAGAAGCTGCACGTGACTGGCACAGACCATAGGCGGCACGTAAGCTACGACGGAGCCTCTGGACCACGTCGGGCATCGACCCTGCCCAGCGCGGCAGAAGTCTTCTGACTGCGACACGTCCGCAAAAAAGCTGGTCTTGCGGCATCGCTTCCGCAGGGCCGACCGGAAGACCTCTGCTTGGCGCTTCGTCATGGATCCGCGCCCTGGAAGGCCATGCAGGAAAGTGAAAGTGACACAACTGGAAGCACATGCGTGGATTAGACAAACTGGCCAAGGCACCTTGTCGCTTGCGCCGCACCAGCTTCGCAGTGACGGTGCTAGCATGCTTCTGCCCGACTCCCAACAGCGCTCTGAGCACCTTCTCGCACCGAGTCCGCAACTCTGCGGCCGAGTCCACACTACACACATCCGCCCGGACCAAGACAAAGTAGACCCGAGGGCGTCGGACCACTGCCCCGAAGTCCGTGGCACAGCAGTCCACCTGAGTGAGCGCAGCGAAGAAACAGCAAAGTCGACGCTGCAAGCATGACTCCTGTCGTCTCCTACAGTATGTGCAGACAGCAAGCAAGAACCACGTGGTAGTCCTCTCTCAAGGCCGCGAACATCTTGCGCTTCACCTGGCCCAAGAATGGCAGGAGCCCGCGCACGTTCTCCAGCACCGCCACCTTGGGGCGTCTGTCCGCGACCGTGTCCAGAACGCCCTGCCTAAGTCATGCCCCCAACATCATCACGATTGGAATCATTGGCTGGTGTCTGAAAAAAAACTAATTTATAGCAAGGCACAAAACTTTGGCTTTCTCCTTGTCCGCGAGCCCATTTCTCTTGCCGAGAAAGCTGTAGCTTTGACATGGAAATCCAGCCGCGTAGAAGTCCAGCGGCTGCTTGACCGCGCCCAAGTCCCGACCAAGAAGGTTGTCGAACCAGTGCAGGGGTTTGTCTGCGGAAGTCGGATGGAACAAAATGGAGACTGTCAGTCAATTCAAAGCCAGAACCAAAGAAACACCCACAAGACTGCAATTCCACCGAGTGACAATTCAGGAGGACCACAGACTTGGCCGCCTTGTCTACATCGCAGCTGAAGATGTGTCGGTACTGGACGTTCATGGCGCGAAGCGCCGCCAAAGGTGCCTGCTCCAGGGCCACGGAGACGCACAGCACACGCATGCACATGTGCGTGCTACTTGAGATCGCAATTTGGAGGCCTCGATGCCGCTGCAGTCCGTGGCCACATTCAAGCGGCCCCATGCACGGTAGCCGCTCGAGCTGGCGGTTGCCACGGCCAGCATGTCCCGACCCCATTGCACGGGCACGGCGTCCGTCTAGGCCCTTCCTGATTGCTATAATCTTTGGGTCCGTCCGAGTCTCAGTGGCAGCAAAGAAAAAGCGAGCATGGGGTTTCAGAGACTTAAAAACCCGAATTCCCACCGGAGGTTGCACGTGCAAAGCTGATGGGTCACAGGCAAGATTTAGGTCCCTGAAGGCTTGGGGTTGTGCTGTAAAGGACATGGTCGGGGGTTTGGAGCCTGTAGGTTGCGACATAGGGTCTGTGACGCATGTCACTGGCCAGGCCAAACACATTTCATAGGAGACCGGTGTCCTTGACCACGTAAGACCGACACGTGGGTCTACCACGCGACTTGGAAAAACTCCGACGACTCCCATGTACGAAATCTGCAAAGCTTGGTTAAGGGGACGGGCAGATCTGTGGGGCTCATTATACTCGCGATCATGCCAAACTAGACTCGACTTTCAGGAGTCTAGGAGGGCCGTGTTAAGGGGAGTGTGCAGAAGGGGACACCGTCATGCCCTTACGCGGCGTGGCTTCAGCTTTGGCCGTTTGGGACTCAGAGGCTGAGTGGGAGGCTTCGGACGGAGCCACGGGCAAGCTCGGGCGATTTTCCATTGCCAGAGTGTGGATGCCCCATATAGTGACCCGGTGAGGGAATCTGTTTAAGATTCGCCCTCAGAAGACCCGATTCGGCCTCGCACTAACAGGCCTGACAAGATCCGATTCGGCCTTGTAGACACGTGGCCTCACACAAGACCCGTTACAGGCCTCACAAGACCCCATTCGGCTTTCAGTCACAGGCCTCACACAAGAACCGTCACAAGACGCGACCCTCCGCAAACTCGTCCGCGTGCTTCTCCATAATGCGTCGGACCTCGCTTGCACCCACCCGTGCCACCTGATCGGGGCTTGGCGCAGGGTGTGTCTCGCAGTAGAAGGCCACGGCATTTGCAGCCATGATGGCTACTTGGTGGCTCTCGTGGCTGACAGAATACCTCGGCAGCTGCAAGCCAGTCTGCTGCGACGCCCGGCAAGTCCAAATTAATTTCTAGCCGAATGCTGTTTGCGGCCATGGGGCACAGACTGCTGGGTCCTCCGCAATCGCACACAGCAAGATGGCTTGCGAGCACTCCATCGCACTTCAATGCGATAGGACGCCGTGTGTCGCACCAGCCTGAGGTCACGGCGCACGGGTGGCAATATGCTCCTCTGAACCCTTCAAAACGCACTTGCTGCTGCAAAAGCTTTAACAAGTCCGAGACTCTTCTTTATATCCGCCAGCTCTCTCTCCGTCAAAACCAGCGGGTCGACCGCGACCTTCTGCTTCTTCTTGTCGGGCAGGGAGGCTTCATCCTGCAGCCTCTGCTGGCGAAAAGCGAAAGCAGTCTCTGGCCATGTGCCGGACGGATGCACGAAGGACTTGGAACTGCCACAAGGGACCAGACTTGCAACCTGCATGTCATCACTTGCCCAAGGGCGGAAGCGGATCAGCGTCATCGTCGGCTTTGGCACGGGAGCCGCGACGAAACTTCTTGCTCAGATCGAGGGACATCTCGCAGTCCTTGTCACTGCTCCGCTGCATGAGTTCCTGGGTTTGGAAACATTGCGG